TTTCCCAAATAAAGCATAAAGGGAGGTTAGTTTTACCCATCGGTTTTGATCAGTGAATTATGTTTGCATTTTTTTACTATGTTTTCCTCAATTTTAGATCTATTCATAAAGCAATCGTGGATATTGATTATCTATTAGGTTAATACTAATGCTTTTCTTGCCATGATTGGTGTAATTGTTAACACCAGTTATTGCAATTATTATAATAACAGATTACCATGATAGCCATTCACATTATAATTGCTCTTGTCATTGTTATTACTATAACTTTTATCATTGCTCTTTGATTATATTGTTAGAATAACTAAGTTGAAAATGGGTTTATCTATCGCCTGAAACTGATTTTTTTTTTTTTTTTTTTTTTTTTTGACTAATGAAATTGGATTGATCTCACGTCATCTAGAAGAGATGTCTTTCAGTGTTCAACCGGTTTACTTCTCTTCTAATTTGATCTTGTGGTCATGCTAAAGCTATGATATGCGTGGGAACCTTTTTCTCGTGAATGATACTTGTTAGCGCTCACGTCATTGCCTTGCAAATATATCTTTCATAACGAATTTGAAAACAGCCGTATATATATTTATTGGTATTGCCGAACGAATCTGAATCTCAAGGAAGGATATTGTTGTATTTCTATTGTAGATTTTCCCCTCAACGACAGATCTTTTGACACTGTGAAAGGAAAAGATAATATGATCGAACATGTTAGTGGCGGTATTAAAAAGACAGTAACATTTATTGAGAATTAAGCCTTTTACCAAAATCTTAATGCAGCAGGTATTGGGATAAAGAGTAATCTCTCCTTTAAGATGATAACTGACTAGGAAATCATATACAATTGACAATGCAAATATGATTAACTGATAAAAATATACCATCGATACACAGATAAATGCATTTATTGTAGGTTAAACTTGAGATGGAAACTTTCATTCGCGAAGATTATACATTTCCTTAATTGATTAGATGGGGGGGGGGATAAATATAAGATTCCAATGAAGCAGATGATAAATAAGTTCGTCACTAATGTACTTAGTATTTTTGCACGGGTGTAGCGTTTATCAATGAAAACGACGTTTTATATTCGTTATCCAATTCCTGTAAGTAATTACAGTAATAATGATAAAGATAATGTTACTATTACTAGTAACTTAGGAAATGAAACCTAACACCGATTTTGGGGTGAACAAAACATTTTTCTAGTAAATTCCGTCGTGCTGCCACTCCCAACCCTCAGCCTGGTCTACAAAATCTTCGCCCAAGTGCCAGCAGGAGAGAACCCAGACCCAGGAACAGTTTTAACCACATCTTACCTTAAGCATTAAGTCCAGACGATCCAGGTTGTGGGTCATTGGGAACTTTTAGGTCGTTCGTTGATGTGAATTGCGATCGTTATTCGTTGGAGAGCGGCCTCGACGAAGAACCGTTGGTGTACTAATGGCTTGTACTGGAGGGGAAACAGATACTGTGTCGGTAATTCCACACTGTTTTCTTCCTTTTGTTTTCGAGACCCTTTCTTAGGCATCACATACCCACTGGTGTCTGTCTTTTGTGTAATGACACGGTGTCTTATAATTTGGGGTTTGTACTTCCCCAGGCATTACAGCGTGATTTCACTGGCATAAAATACGGTATTACTGGAAAACGTCACCAAAGGTTCGATTAAAACTAACCTTGCAGCCTTGAAGATATTCAATTAATGATAATTTTTCATTAAATAAACTTGTCTCGCAAATGAGTAATATCGAAGGTATTTAATTATCAAAATAAATAAAAATAGTATTAAACGGAGGCGAGATTCACACGATGGCTGAGGGAATACTGACGGCGCATGTGCGGGGGTTTTCGTACCCGTTCTGTTCCTGATATTCCGTCGTTATTTCGGAGATATTTAGCGATGGAAAGGAAGTGGTTATCCTCACACCCTACACACTGCCTAGCCATGATGGAACTGATTTAAATTTTCTTCTAGTTTCAACTGCTCATGTCACGTGATGATCTATTTCAAATTTGATTGGTTCGATTTCGGTGGACGTCAGTGACTGGTCACGTGACGTTCACGCACGAATCTAATTGGCTTATTTGCTCTCTCTCTCTCTCTCTTGCATACACCACCTGCTACAAATCCGTCAAATTTTCCGTCGCTTTTCACGACCATTGCGAGAGAACTCATCTTTATCATTTTGTCGCGGCGCTGAAACGTAAAAGTTGCTGGGGCCCTGGAAACCGTGGATTTTAACTCTCTCTAATACCGTTATTATCACCGTTTCTGAAGAAAATGGCATCGAAGTAAGTTTTCATAGAAGGATGTGTATCACTACTTGGTATGCTCAAAATCCTTAATTTTGGTGTTAATTTTCATTTCCAATAATAGCATGTTGCCAATAATAGTAACAGTACTGCCGTCAATGGTAACGGTGATAATGATAATAAAAATACAAAAACTATTACTAATTATGATAATAATATGATAATAAGAATGGAGAAATGCTATTATATTATTAGCATGACAATATCAATAAAAAGAGTGATCCAACAGCAGTTAAACAATTAAATAATAGAAGCCCCACTTCCGTTGGCAGTATCTCACTTTTTTTTTTTTTTTTTTTTTTTTTTTGAAATGCCGGTTTATTGGTTGACATGAGCAACATCGATCAAATTTCAAGCGAAACCAACAATTCGATATTATATATAGCATTTAATGTATACTTCGAGTAAGAAATTCAAATTCAAATGCTGGCACATTTTTGAAAGATTATGAACGATTTAATCAAAATAGTTTATTATAGATTGCACTTTTGATAACAGGTAGTTTCGTTTTGTATGAATGTATATTTTGTGTGTTATCACTACATATATGCTAAAGTAAAATGTTTTAAGTTTGAATGTGTAATACGATTCTTTATCAGTTCTTCCCCCGTTGCTCCTATTCTTTGCAGTTCCACTTTAGGTCCAAGTGTCCACCTCACTCTGTTTACCCTCGACCTTGCATCCTGTAATAGGTGTCCCCCAGGCTCATTTTTGCTTCTTTATCTTCTTTTCTTTCCATAAGCCCAAATCATCTTTGAAATAGAAATATTCAGAATCAAAACTGAAATTATGATAAGTCTGGGCTGATGGTAAGTCCGCAGTCGAGCTAAAATTACTTTGTAAAAAAGAATGCAAGTATATGTAATTTGTAAATGTAGAACTTGGATGTGGAACATCTGCCTTGTATATTTATTGATTCTTTACGAAAAATGTGTATTTCATGAAAGTATTGGCCAAAAAATTGCAAAATAGTGTACTCCAAATGATCTGTTACATCCCCACCACCAAAAAGAACTAGCTATGCCTCTGTTTAGAAGGGGACCGCAACTCATTTTTGTTTAAAAATGATAGAGTAGGCTGAAACGCCGATGGGGCCACCCTGTCAATGAAATTTATTGGATGGTATTACAGGACACACATCCACATATTTTCAGATTATCAGTCACTTGTCACGGTAGTCAAGTCATTACGCTCAATCAGTATTGCAGTAGTATGCGTGGGTTTGTAATGTGGGTGTGTGCAGTAATATATAATAAATACTGTTGTAAGGTAATATGCTTCATTAGTCAATGAAGTACGTATTACGATATACCAGTAAAAAAGATAATGGAACGTCAAGGTACGCAGTCATTTATATATATATACTCACAGTCATATTTGTGTCTTCTTTGTTTAACGTTACTATACACAATATTTTAAAAGAAATCGTCATTTAGAAAATTACCAGAATAATATTAATTAATATTACTAAGAGAGGTGCGCTATCGTGTGAAGCGTTGCATGGATAGTTCGTCTATGTACTTCCCTCTGATATTGTGCAGATGGATAGTTCATAATCAGTTGCAATATTTAATGTTTTACTGATAGAACGTAATGGATTACTACGGTGAAAATTGATTGTAATTAGGATAGATTTTTGTGTGTTTTTTCTAATAATCTAAATCATAACCCTTTATCGCTGTAATTACATTACAGTTTTTTTTATCTGTTTACCAGCAAGGCCAGATCATTCTGTGCAGAAAAAAATAAGATAAATCCTCTATGTTACATTGTGCCACTTTTCATTCGTAACAAGATTTTCCACAGCTGTCCTCCCCCACACAAAGGCAGATAGTGATGCTAAGGGATTTTTTTGACATTATATAATGTTCCACGCTTAAATATAGTGAAACGTTTCATATAAATTCGGCACATTGTTTACTATATATGACAGGCAATGATGAAAAATAAGCTCATTAGAAACATATTTGAAGCATCTTTCTCTAGCAAATGTCATATTTATGGTGTTTCCTGTGTGTATAATACAATTATACGATACTGTTTATAGCAGTAATGCATTATGTAACAGAATGATGGTGTTTTAGATGTTATTTCTGGCGGTGTCACAATCAGGTGACGCAGTGCATTTTTCCTTTTGATGCCGTTCGGATGTTAATATGGAAGAGAGAGGGGGGAACGGGTAGGGAAGAGGAATGAAAAAGAGGTGGAGAGGGGGAGAGAGACACTCTCTCTTTCTTTCTTTCTTTCTGCCCCGTATCGCCAATAGAATATCCTTTGCACTATCAGAATTTTTCATTCTATTACGTAATGCGTTAGTGTTATAAAGAGTGTAAAGCTTATACTCTTTTAATATACTAAATATGATCAGCGCATTCTTCGGTATTCTCATCATCTGTGTCACTTTCATTTTCATTTTGAAAACAAAACGCGTTTCAGAACATAAAATAGGAAAGCATCTATAACTTTTGTATCTTAAATTCCACAAGACAAAATTACATCTATTTCCCGAACTGTAATCGGTATGTCAGTGTTTAAAAAGCGTAGATTTATGAAACAAAAAGAACGTGTTAAAGCATAGAGGAATAGGAGCAATACCCACACACTCATATATGTGTGTGCACTTTTTTGGATGTATTCTTCCTTTAATGCGTGCCAGTGATGTATTAATGATTTCTGTGCCTCCCTCCCAG